GATTACTCGAGAAGTGAGCAGCGAAGTCGGTTGGTCGCTCTATTATACCCCTGCCTCCACCACTTTCTATCTATACTCCTACCACCTGTAGAACCACTGAATAAGGGTAAATTTCCACCTAACACGCCCACGCTCTAGAAGTCCTACAGGTCGGCATTTGTACCCCCTCCATTTTATGCTCCCGCTCGTAGGCTCCCTTCCTCCTTGATCTCTTTTTTTTTTTTTATCGACTAGCTGCTTACTTCTTAATTTCCTCTCGTTTACTAGTCGTTTCTCGTAATTTGTTCAAGCTCTTCGTACATTTATCTCGTTTCCCCTTTTTCTCTACATTTTCTCAACATCATTCCAAATTCAGGGTGACTCAAGTATTTTTCTTGTGCAATAATTGCTAATACTCCATCTATATATATATATATATATATATATATATATATATATATATATGCATATGCGTGTACATGTATACGCGCGTGCGCGTATACAAAATATTAAGTCTTGCTATGATTACTTCTTAATGAATCAAGCTTTTAATAACATTTTTTCCCTTAAATAATTTTAAGAAAATGGATATGATTGTATATAAACCCTTTCAAGTACAGTATAATTATATTCACGGTCTTTTTTATAATTGTTTCATATATATATTTTTATTAGCTGATTATTTTAGTTAAAAAATCTGATATTCGTGTATATATTTGCATTATACATTTTAGAATTTAATAATAAATATATTCATTTATTTATTAGAAGCGTTTGGCTAATTTTGTTTAAACTAATACTTCATTATTCAAGTTATTTTCGCATTTTTTGAAACATTGTATCTAGTCATTCGTATTGGAATAATAGTTTTAGGCTTGTAAAATTTTTCCCTGAAACAATTGATTATCATCGTAAGATTCTTTATCTCTCCATGTAATTGCTTTGAGTTAACACGTTTAAGGAGATATGAAATGGTCGTTAAATTCTTAAAACATACAATTAATAATGATCGAAATATTTCACTCGAATGAAATAAAAACCATACATTAATTATCGATTACAGATACATTTTGTGCGAAAAAATATTTGAAAATATTAACTTGTAAATGTTCGTTTATTTATTATTTTTTTTTATTTTTTCAATATTCAATAGAGTTGAATATTTTTCAATTTACAAGTATAACATGTATCTGAAAAATTCTTTCAAAAGACTTGTACATACCTGTTGCAGATTGAGCATTAAATGTACGTGCCTCCATGACTTGAAAAGACAAACATATTTTCAGTTACGTTTGTCCGGAAAACGTCAAAAATCTGGAAGTTTTTTTTTTTACGTCGCATACGCTCAACTATATTTTCTAGCGCTTTTTTTTTTATTATCCTGGCTTTTTGCGTATCGTATGAACATGTAAGCGACGAAAAGTCATTTCTATACAAAACAAATGACGTTGGTGCAGTGCAATACATAACATGCGAGTATGATTACTCAGATAGTAAAACGACGACACTGAAAAAGTTTTACGAAAAGCGTCGTTAGAATAGTTAATCGACTTGGAAATGACTCTAAAGTTATTGAAAAAGATTTTGCGAAATAGAATACTGCAATATAGTTACAGAGTATCAATAATTTGTTGGAAATAGTGTAGTCCCAATAAATTTTATATACAAGTTTCAGTTATATTTTTCATTGAAATTTACATAAATATTCATTAGAAAGTAAGACATTAAGATTTTTAAATCAAGTGCTTTGTAACAAATCATCATGTAGTTACTCAAAAGAAAATTTATTGCTACTGGAACAGATCATTTGCGACACTTTAATAAAGAGATTTTACTTTATTGTTATTATATGATCCCTGTCTTGTCTTTAACACTATAGTATCTTAACAAATATTAGTACTAAGTCTAGTGTAGAATGTGATCGATACTACTTACAGTTCATTGATTAATAAGATGATATTGCATATAAATATAAATAAATACTTACCCGTAAAATCGAAATAGTAACTTCTGTACTAAATATATCAGTATTACATATGACATTATTAATATTAGTTTATGAGATTAGACATTTATTTTACTTTTTCAATCAACTTACACCATCAGTTACTTGAAAGTTATTGTTAATTTTTATTTATTCGTAACTTTATATAAATTTAACGCGATTTACAACTTTTCCAAATGACTTATTGATATTCTACATGTCTATGCAAGTAGTTGCGGTCAAGATATGATCAGGCGACAAGTCGTATATAAAATATTTTCTTTGTCAAAGATGCAATCGAACATTCTTTGGTAAAAGTTACATTAAAAGTTACACTTTTTTGTTTTAATTTAAAAAGCAGAATTTTTTTTAAAGGATGTTTTAAAGTAGTAATGAATATGTTATTATCATTTTTATATGCTTTAATAAGTTAAACATGTAGTTTATTTTGAAACATTATATCTATATTTAAAATTGTAATTTTTACTGGATGAATTTTATTTTATATAGACTTTTGATTTATTTAATATAGTAAAATAAGATAACTTTCAAATAGAATACAATTATTTACCAACATATTTAAAACTTAGGATTGAGCATAAATTTAAATAATATTAAAATTTTGGAAATCCAATAAATAAATAACAATAAATCATATTATTTTTTATATTATGCGTGATAAATATGATTATTACAGGATATTATTTAAATTGAAAATTCATAACATTTGCATTCAATAATTAAATAAAGAAAGATGATTTTAATAAATAAGTTTTATTTCATTGATTATAAGAAATTACATTTGCCAAATTATTAGATTTGCTGAGGATTACAATTATTATTTATATTTTAAAATTCAAAAATACAACCAAAGGTGAAACATAATATATAAATACTAAATTATATATTTATTTTTTATTTAATTCGAAGAATGTTTACTATTTGTATTATATTCAAAAAACCCGTAAGTATAAAAGATATTTTATGTATTGAATTATCTGTGCAATTGTAAAAATATAACCTGTAAAAGTTTGTGTACCAGTTATCTCTAAATTATATCTTGAAATTACAATTGAAATTTTGATAATTTTAAACTAAAATATTAATATAAATATTAAGGTATTTAAATTTTGTGACAGGAATTTAAGCTCCGATTTATTCTTTAAATTTTTCAATATTGAATTGTCTGAACATATAATTTTATCTAATACTTTATTATATTCATTATTTTATTACTTATAAATTGTTTTAAAAAATTGTTTGTAAAAATATTGATCAGAAATAAAGCCAAGTGCACGCAGTAAATGCTTAAGATCATATATTATGAAGTTAAAACGAGATTATGCCATTGTTTATCATTTTCGCGATAGTATGAAGTTTATTATTTAAGAAATCGTACATACAATTGAAGCGTTGTGTTAGATAATAAGTGTTTAAAGGTGATAGATGAATTCTTACTGTAAATAAATGAAATATATGGGATATTGTAATGATAATTAAACGTGCTAAAAGTAATTAACCCTCGGCTTACATTGAAACGTCTAGTCTGAAATTGTGAAAAAAATCTGCTTGAATGAAAAATGAGTCAATTAATATGCGTATTCCAGAAATTGTCCTTTTCACTAACTGATAGGGTACAAAAGAACTCTGGTTAAGCAAATTGTAAATATATATTTTAAAATATTATTAAATAAAAAAAATATTAATAACTTTTGTCAAAATATTTTTACTTTAATTGAATATCGATATTACCATGTTTCATACAATGACGCTTTATTTACTTTGTCTATATGGTAAAAACATTCTTGATTGATTATACAATGTTTATTTTTATTAGAAAATGTCTGACTTAAATCAAGAGGAGGCGAAGCAATTCGAAATTGAGCGAGCCGATAACTCCATAAATAAATGTGAAAAATGCAGATATTTACTCTTGAAAGGTGATCTGATGATTATTCAATATAAGGAAAATTCTCGTGGCGAAGGTCTTGTCCGTGATACCTGGTATCATGTAGGATGCATTTTCGAAGAACTTTCTAAACAGCCGTCCATGACAAAGAGAATTGTCAATCCTGAATATGATATAAGAAAGTGGAATCTGCTGTACGATCGGGACAAAGATTTCGTAATGAAAAAATTTGCCGAGTTTCACCCCGCTGGTATGTTCTCTTTATTAGAAATTCTTATTGTTTTTAAATGTCCATTGACTTAAGATATTAATTAAAAACAAATTGAAATAATTAATAGTCGAGTTTTGTGCACAATGCTAATTTTGATTTCAATATTTCAATATTTCACTGCAGTCATTATTAGGGAAAATGCATTATCTTATGAAGTTTACAATATTCTATATGACAATATCACATAACGTTTACAATATCTTATAATAGAATTTCGCTTAAAGTTAATAATGTCTTATACTTGAATTTCGTAGAAATTTATGGCATCTTATAGTATAATGTTTTACAAAAGCTTTTAAAAATCATTTGACTTGTTCTAAAATAGTTTCATAAAGAATAAACACAATTTAATTGCTTGGCAGATTCATTTAAAGCAACCAAACAAAAAGCAAAATTGTCAATGACCAAGGAAACTTATAACAAAAAGTTGGCGAATAATGCAATTGATGATGTCGGCACGTCTAGCAGCAAAATAACAGATAATTACGAGAAGAAAGACAGTTATAGTAGAGAGTTTAAAACTCTTGTGAAAAAGAAACCGACGCAGGATAATATGTTTTCTGAATTCCAACGAATATGCGACGAAATTTCAAGTTGTAGTTCTTATTTGGAAAAAACAGCTATTGTGAAAAGAATGTTTACTAAAGGCTCTGAAAAAGGTTAGTAGCTTTATATATTTATTTTATTGTGTCCTATTAATATAAAAGTACTTATTTGTAAATGTAAAATTATTACGTGCACATGTAATGTAGAAACATTTCTTTTACCAGTTGAAACTTTTCCTTATTTCCATGTAATCAAATGTAATACATTTAATTTAATCCTCTTATTTTTCTACAATAATAGGATAATTATAATACGAGTTTTTAAAAACTCGTAAAAGAAGAGAATGTGTGACAAACTATCAAAACTCTTTCAAATAATAATTTCTAAACTAAGTTCATTTGTAACATACACACACACACACTCACATATATATATATATATATATATACTGTTAAAATTATGAATCCTTTTCAAAATAATTTTTTCTTTTTTCAAGTCGACATATACACTTAAAAAACTTGAATATTTTAGTCCAATAATTAAGATTTTGTTCTATTAATAAATCGTTCGAACCAATTACAAGGACACATTCCAATTAAAATTATGCGGAATGTTTTTTTTTTAATTTTTTTTTTTTTTTTTCAATCAAATATTAAGGCAAACATATTTTTTAAATCACGTTTTGTGAGCGATATTTTTTTAAAAAGAATTAATATGCTTCGTCAATGAAAAATATCCATTATACATTTATTCTAAACTTTTTTCGTTTGCAAATTACACTTTATCATTTAATACATATTTAAACGAAAATGATGAATTATTTAAATATGAATATTTCGAAATAACCATTTAAAGGTATTGCAAAGCATTTTCATTATGATGAGCAACGATGAAATTCAATGGTAATGAAAGCCTTTCACGAATAAAATTGGTTGGTGTTGGTAACTGTTTTTAAGATTATACTGTATTACAATTTAAAAATTCAAATTATTTTGACTACATTCTCTACAACTTTCCGTAAAAAGGAAAAAAAATAAAGAAATATTATAAGTAGCAAAATAATGCGAATGACCAATTGATTTTCGTAAAACATTATGCATGTTTTGTGAAAAGTAGAACATACTCTAATTAAAGATATTAAATTCATATTAAAGTCATTTAATTATTTCACACGTGACCATATTATACAAGTCATTCCATTAGGCATTATTTAGTAATTATAAGTTCTACGCACTTATATTTCAGGGTGATAAATTAATTGTTAATGTAATGTTGATAATTTATACAAATAATTTCATTAAACATGAGCACATCACGACTTATTAATAATGTAAATTTTGCAAGTTATTAAAGGACACAAAATAGAAAAATACATCCTATTCGATAATTATAGATATATAATAATATCATAGTGTAACATTAATGTTAATAAATAAAGCAATAATAATAATAATAATAATAATAATAAATCGTCAGTAACATGAGTTATGTCGGAAGTTGCGAATGTCATGCTTATTGTTAAAGCCCTTAATCGTTGAAAATAATCATAAAATGAAATAAGACACTGAAATATTAAAGTATTTTTAAAGCATAATTGAATAAGAACTTCCCAAGATTATTTCAATTTCTACGCTTAAAGCGAGCTACGACTCTTCGCAGCTTTCGTGAACTTCTCGTTTATTTGCAGCTTTGGTTATCGCGTCATACATCCGTCGACGGGATCTCCGTATAATCAATCGGACAATTGTTTCAATGGAATTGCGTATCGAACGATCGAAGCCTCGTGTTATTTGACCACACTCTAACCTACTCTCACAAGAGCGATCGCGAGGTCGTGAAATTATTAGCGATCTCGCATAACGACTCGTGATAATACAAGATACACGCTCAATTTAACTAAACCGAACAATGAATCGCACTACTACATATCCGATGGACACGACATGACTCTAACACACATCGCTTCCCTTACAGCCGATTTGCGCGTACGTGTAAAGCGCAAAACTCTGTTTATTAAAATCACATCGATTCATTGTTCTTTAGCATAAATATTGAGACGTCCCCGCACAAGAATTATACGCGTTTCTGTTTGGAGGAAATTAAAATCTGTGCGATTTTCACACATCTTCGATATATTACAATGAAATGCTTTTCTAAAAGATGTACAATAGCGACCTTTAATACGTGAATTATCGTATTGTTATGCCAATATACGGCGATAATTAAAAAAGGAAAGGAGAAAAAAGCTCGAATTTAATACCGCTCCATAGTGCAATAATGCAGCATTGTATCGAGTTTAAAGAAAATATCTACAATGAAGAGTGAGTAAATTTTAATTTTACCCAAATATAAGTTTTTCTTTTTTTAATTACCAGCGCTTATTCGGGCAAGATCGATAGAGCCGATTGCACATCTTCCAGAATGTACGAAAAATTGAAATTTATTTTCACCCAGGCTGTTGTCGAAACAAAATAGACGTATTTTTAGTTTCGTATTATTTGTCGATTTGCATGCACTTCTATTTTTGCCCTGAGCTAGAAATAATATCATCGGCGGTCTAATATTCGCCTTAATTCTCGATTACATTTCGACCTCGACTACCGAGCGAAATTGTAGTCCGTAAGCTCGAATACTGATTGACCGATAATGATTTTAGGTAAGAAGTATCAATCAGCCGGTGCTATAGAACAATGTTGAGAAATGTTGTAGAGGAATTTAGATTCATGATGGCGCTGTGATCGGTATCATTCAAACGAATTCTTACAGTCGTGTAAAACTTAATAGAGAAAATTTAAATAAAATATAAATCTCGACGTGTTTGCGTGTGTGCGCGCGCGATTACTTGCGCGTCTGCGTTTCTGCAAGGTTCTACTGATTATTTTTGTCGAATTCTTAATAATCATTTACTTACATTTAAATAATAACAAATGAAAAATGACTGGATTAATAGATATTAATAGATTAATCAAATAAAATTGTTATTTATCATAGTTATTTATCGTGAAATAGAGCCTCGGGCACCTCATAATCGATTTTACATAGCACTTGAAAGTTTCTCCTTGTAAAAAATCTATTCGACGCTTCTATAGTTATTGATCGGGGAGTTCATTTGAACGGCGTAAGAATTTTTTTCGAACCTTTCCACTATGTAAGATTGACTCTTCCTGTACAGTTGATAAAAAAAAAATTGACTAGGAGCATAAAAATACGAATGAGCTCAAATTACGTAAAAAGGTCATCCCTTAAAGTTGTTTATTTGGAAAATTGTAGTCCCGTGTGTTTAATCAATATTAATTTCTTCTTAAGTTATCGACCCCTTCACGAGCTCCGCCTTTTAACATTTCGCACTAGTCATTGGCATTACTCTTGTCGCAACAATCTCCAATTCCTTACGCCCGCGTGCCTTTTAATCACTCTGTATGGCCAACGACGACAATACAAGCGATCATTTTCCGTCGTAACTTTACTCTTTACTACGGGAAGAAATTTACCGAGACAATCTCTATGTCACGGCTTTCTTGAGAACGTAGACAAATTCCAATGATACGGATGAGTCGGGGGAGATGCGCGGCTTGCGTCGGATTTATCAATCGCCGAGTTCTCTTATCGAGCTTTAGTCCGTAAATGCTGCAAGAATCGCTTTCTGCAGTAGCACGCGCCATGGGAGCTCGTTTCGGTTGAGATAGAAGCCGATAAAATAGCGAATTTGATTTATTATGGACTTTTTTGCGTAACGTACGAATGGAATTGAAACAGAGAAAAAAAGTAACGATAATAGCCGGGGAGAGCCTCTCTCGTTATGTATCTAATAAATTTACTTGAAGATAAGCTTATGAGTAAGTCAGTAAGTCTTGATACAAATAAGACTCGTGCGATAAAAAGACTTAACTCGTCCAATATTTGCTAATTTCAAGTTCCACATTGTTTTGATTGAAGTGTATACTTTTTATATTATAATTTTACATAAATAACGGTATTTTAATATTATAATTTTTTTTTTTTTTTTTTTTTTTTTTTTTTTTTTTTTTTTTTTTTTTTTTTTTGACACCAAGTAGAATTTTAATACGTTTTATATATTTCACAGTCCTATTACAATATTGTAATATTGTAATGCAATATTACAACGTTAGGGTAAAAAAATTTATTTTTTATGCTCCCTAATGATTGTAGATTAGCGATATAAAATTGCGTATAGAAAATTGTGAAAGCTATGATTTTCATTATTTGTTTAGTTAATTGTTTAATTGTTTGTTTTATGTTAGCTTGGATCATAAAATATATGAGTTTGCGATTCTCCGTTTAATTTGTAATCTTTTGCCCAACGACGATTTAATTAATAACTACGTTCGCACAATAATTTTGAATAAGCATGAAAAAAAAAACAAAAAACAAAATGATTATCGGTGTAGGGTATTTTAATAAAAATTAATTCCTCATACTTCAAGCTTGTAATTCGAATAATCTTGTTCGAAAATTCTTGTTAATCGTAAGGTTTATTAAGCTTGAATTTAACATTGTTTAAGGAATCACTTAGCCTCGACTGACTTATCTATCTCCGTTTCAAATAAACTATCAATTAATTATCAATTACTCGTCGACTGTCTAAAGCATAATATTGTTTATGTATATTCCATACTCACTCGTTATTATGCCTGATGTTATCAATATATTTCTATATCACTTTCAATTTGCCATCCAATTCGCAGCTTCCCTTCCGATGAAGATGTTAATAATATTTGTTTGCGTACCCCACTAAAAGCTCGCATGCAATATTTGCAATTTGTCTTTGATAAATTCTACTGTTAGTGGAGTACAGTGACCTGTAGGATATTTCAAATATTTCACACTTTTATGATTTATATTCTCAAACAAGACACAATTTTGTCGAAGGCTTTATCACAATATTTGCAAGCTTTTTAGTTTAGTTTAGTTTTGTTGTTGTTGTTTTTTCTTTTTTTTTTTTTTTTGCAAAGTTCATGCGTCTACGACGCTTTTTAAGTCATCATGCTCGATCTAAAAACGACACACCGCCTTTGAACAACAAGACGCGTCGTACTTCGAAAATCTAGACATTTGTACACGAAATGTTAATAAACGGCAATTAATTTAAATC